TCTATCCCAAATTCATCGACTTTGAAAAGGCCTTCGATAGCGCAGCGTCGATCGAGAGGTGATTTGGAAACTACTTCACTACAACCAAGGAGTGTAACTGACAATAATACATCTCATCCAACAGCTGTACGACAATGCTGCATGCCAAGTAATCCACAATGGGAAACCCACGGAATCCTTCAAAGTGAGGACAGGAGTAAGACAAGGCTGCCTACTATCGCCAATGATTTTCCTGATTGCAGTAGATTGGATAATGCGACAAACAGCGGGAAATGAGGAAACAGCCATAAAATGGACTCACACAAAAATCTTGGAGGACGATTTATGTCTGATCTGGAAGATATGCAAATGAAAAGCAACAAGTTGGCTGAAGAAGCATCAAAGATAGGACTTCGGGTGAACATAGAGAAAATAGAGGTGTTGAAGATTCCTGGTCAACACCATCAACAGCAACAACAACAACAAACAACAATCAGCATAAGTGGAAGGAACCTGAAAGAAACAACCTCTTTTACCCACTTACGTGGGAAGCATCGTTTCAGCTACAGGCAGACGGAACTGATGAGGATATCAAAGCAAGAATCGGGAAAGCAAGACAAGCTTCCACTACTCTCAAAACTGTGTGGAGGAGAGTCACAGCACTTAGCGTCAAAAATAAAATCCGGATTTTGAACTCCAATGTGAAGATAGTGCTGCTATACGGATCAGAGACTTGGTGCGTCATAAAGAGCATCTCAAATAAACTACAGACCTTCACTGACAATTGTCTTCGCTCAATACTCAAGGTCAGATGGCCAGAAAAGATCAGCAACAGGGATCTCTGGCAATGAGCGAACCAACTCAGCAGGAACCGATTGTGAAACAAATAGGCAGGAAGAAATGGAGATGGATTGGCTGCCACACTCTGAGGAAACCATCAAGTGACATCACTAGACAAGCCATCGCTCGAGTGGAACCCGAAGTGGAAGCGGCTAGTTGTTCGTCAGTGCAAGGGTGACTTAGAGGAGGTCATGTGAAGAGGAGATGAAAACGTGTGGGCAGACTTGGAGCCAGGTGAAAACTCTAGCAGAGAACCAAACGCAGTGAAGACGCACGGCTGAAGCCCTATGTTCCTCTAGGAATTAAAGGAAACAATAACAATAATAATAATAAAATGAAAATAATAAACCCCGCTGTGATTTCGAAAATTTTCCTACTGAATATGAAAGCATTTTGAAAATTGCGACTACACTAAGGAAGTAGATGTTGCCTCAAAGACGACAAAGTCTCATAACTCCATACTACGTTGAGAAAATGTAGACAAAGCCAGTATCCCTTAAAAACAGATTACATCCACTGAGATATGTGTTCTTCAACTTAGTATCCATGATCACAAACTAACATTCAGGCGTCATGAATATTTAATCCTTCACATCAACGCATGTAGACAACTACAAACATCAGTTCGACTGAGAGAATGCTTTAATCTCAAATAAATGAAACACTTGGGAGGCGAGGGAATTCGTGGAAGCGTGATAAGGCTATTAGCAGAATTGCACAACAGAATGTCGGAAAAAACAATGTTGTTTTGATTTATGCCTTCAGTTGGGTAATAGAAAGACTCTTATAATAATCCATATCGTATATCCTATGGCCAAATATAATATCTAGAAATTTCGTGACTTGGTAAGCAAGTAACTAAGATATATCTTTTTAATACTTTATCCTTCCGATGCAGATAAGGATATAGAAGACTAGTTTCGCATATGCCAGTTCACGCCGTCTCTGGCGTAGACGTGATATCCGGCTGGCTGTCGACCAAAGGGCGTGTGTACTGCTCAGCAGTTCTCTCCATTCGCCTTCATGGCTGTGAGACCAGGTTATTGAAAGTGCAAGACATGAAAAGACTGGCGAGCTGTCTCTGAGCAAAGGTGTCAGCGTTCTTTCTCCCGTGTGAAGTGGTATACTAGGGTGAGCAATATTGAGGTTAGACGATGAGTGCTAGTTAAAGAGGGGAAATCAATAGACGAGGCTGTGAATTTACATTGACTGAGATGGTTGAGACATGCGCTAATCATGCCTAGACATCACTTTTCTCGACAGTCAATCTTATCTGAAATGGGATCGATGGGGTTTGAAAAGAGCCATTGGTGATCAAATCAAAATATGGCATCAGTTAATGAAATCCACAACAGTTATTTAAGCCACGTGGGAAGGTGTAGACTTCCTGACTATTTAGGGTCCGCGGGACCGTAAAAACCAATGGCTGGAAACAATCGGTGGTATGGCTCAAAATCGTCCTCAATGGCTAGCGCAGATGCTTCCACTCTTCGTGACTTATAATACCCATGTTCCTATTCTTTTTGCCCCATATCTCTGTTTATTATCTCTGTTTTGAATCTCTTTTTACTCTCTTCTCTTGTTTTGTGTGCTACATGGAGTGTGGCAACTCGAACTGCTGCAAATTTGTGCAAAGTTCTACGTTGAAACCAGTCAGTCAGTCAAATGTATTATTGTTCCTGCTTATGAGTTGTAGTGGACCAGTCAGTGAGTTAGTCAGTAATCCTCCAGAATCAATGATTTTCAAATTGTAAAGTTCTAGATCCATTATAGCCTGACCGTCAGTGGCTCAGCGGTAGAATATGCACCAACGACGCATGTGGTTCGGAGTTCGATTCCCAACCGACGCGCACTCATGCGTTTCACGTAGCCAGAAGTAAGTCGGATAAAATGGAAAGGTTGAGCATGAGGCAAGCAATCCCATCCCATAAAAAATAACGACGTCACTGTTACTGAAACTCTAGTGCAAAAAGATTGAAGCCTTCAAAATGTAAAGGGATAAAATAGTGAAAATCCAACACAGTTTCCTTTGGAATCCCAAAATATTCAGATCACAGTATATGATCTTCATACAATAAATGGAAAAATTGACAAATCGAGCATAATTAAGCGACAGTATATTGGAAACCACTCACGCCAGACAACAGTACCGGCTAGCCAAACCAGAGTAATCTAAACACCTGACGACCGTTTAATTCATTTTGGAATGAGCTCATTAATGGTGTATCCGGTCCTACTGTTCTCAGAGATCACAGTCAGTTCAAGCTATCTGAGTACTCGCTAGCTACTTGGGTAAACTGGTAATACGTGAAATCTAGTGATCTTTTTTAATTATTCCTTGCGCTCGAACTGCTTCAGGCTTTAAAGTCTCAGTAGTAACAGTATCGTGTGCACAAAGTGGAACTGCTATATTCACGTCCAACCTTTCCTCTTCTCGATCTTAATACTAACCAGAAAACGTCACGAGGTTTAGGAGTGCGTGGCTGATTAATTCAATCAGTGGTTTGTAAATTATACAGTCTGTCTGTCAGTCTGTTTTCAACACAGAACTTTGCACCGATTTGCAGCAGTTCAAGTCGCCACACTCCATGTAGCACACAAAGCCACAGAAGAAAGTTGAAGAAATGCTAAATAGAGACAGTAGACAGGGATATGAGACAAAAGGAAAAGTAATATGGAAGAACAATATAGTCTTATTGGATATTATAAGTCACAAGGAGTGGATGCATCTGCGCCAGTGAGGACAATTTTGAGACATATAACCAATTGTCACCAGCCATTTGTGTTTACCCTCCCGAGGACCCCAACCAGGAAGTCTGCACCTCCTTAAATGGCTTGAACCAACTGTTGTGGATTTCACTGATTAATGAAGCCATGTTGGTTTTGGTTTGACCCCCAATGGCTCTTTTCCAAACTGACCCTATGTCAGCTAACGTTGCCCGTCGAGGAAGACGATGGCTAGGGATGCATGCGTAACACATGTCCTAACCATCTCAATCGATGCAACTGCTTCACAACCTCGTCTATTGATTTCCCCTCCTTACCTAGCATTCAACGCCTAACCTCAGTATTGCTCACCCTATTATACCACTTCACACGGGGATAGAACTCAGACACTTATGATGAAAGACAGCTGGCTAGCCTTTCCATGTCTTTCACTTTCAATGGCGAAGTCTCACAGCCATAAAGCAGGACGGGGCGGACTGCTCGGCAGTACACACGCCCTTTGGTCTATAGCCAGCCGGATATCACGTCTACGCCAGAGATGGCGTAAACTGGCATATGTGAAACTAGCCTTCTATATCCGTGTTGAGATTTCGTCAGCGATCGACCCATTGGGGCTGATGAAACTTCCCAAATAAATGAAGTGGTCAACAAGCTCTACCACTTCACTCCCTATCTCTAAGCTAGGAGTCAATATAGTCCAGTCCTGTAGCATCATCTTACATTTGACAGAGGGAGCGAAGTGCTTGCTAAACATTCGCAGATTGCAGTTCAAGGCGTTCAGAAGACTGTATTTTGTCAGCGTCTTCACAAAATGCCACAGCCTAGTCTGGTGTAGAACGTCTGACTGAGTCGCCACGATGGGTTGTTCTCGAGTCGTAGCTAAGTGGTATACGCGTATTGATATGGGCATAAATTATACAGTTCGAACGATGGTCATTTGATTTTATTCAGCTTTCGGAGTTCTGTTGACCTGAATATATTGCTGATTAGCTCGGCCTACGTGGGTCTGGAACGGCCGTCCAATATTTAGATCACTTCATTTTGACTGGCAAGTAGCTCTGTGTTGACGTAAGTGGTTTCCAACCATAAACGTTAATCAGTGTTATATCTAGTGTAAAAATATTTTATCAAAGTTATATTTTCTATAGTTGGTTTGTAAGGATTAGTTTTGTTTTTAAGAGTTGATCACGGATTGATATCAGTTAGAGAACCATTGAAAACCAGCAGTTGAGTACTGGACAGCTATTTCATCCTACTTTAAAAATCATCGGGAGTACGCACCCACCACCAGCGTTCGAACCCATGACCTTCTGGTTACAAGCCATGCTAGCTCATATACCATTCAGCCACTGGGACCCAACCTGATTCAATGGCCAATCCATGAATTCTAACGTCTACCAATTCGTGATTTACCGCAATGTATATTTCGTTACAAAAAATCCCATTTAACTTACTCGGAGCTTGTAATATATGACCTCTTTGTTTTTTTGTCTTTTGTTCACATTCATAATAACCTTCATGTATTGACTGTAATTCCTTTATAACAATTATACTCGTTCTCAATTTATCAACACGATTTGTTCCAGTCGGTAGAGTGCCACCATTAAATGTCCAAGTAACCTGTAAAGAATAAAAATAAACAATTTTTATTATTATGAATACGTTAAATTGATATATCTGACAGACTGCCGAAGATTGCAAGCCGTTTCGTTTGGGTTGGTATGGTTCAGGGGAAGATAACTGGTCAAACATACATGTGGCCCTGAAGTTCAACTGCCTAGCGACTCTCTTGTACAGCAATATGCGCATCCTGGACTCCACATGCCCAGACATCATCGAAGCATCTGCACAAGAAGCTAACATACCAACATGAGACCGAGCACTTCGATCCAATCAATCGACGAGAAAACCTAAAAATTGAATTAAATAATCAATATGACTCGTTTCACAAGAGGTGGCTCTCGTGGCCCAAGTGGTCTAGTGGATAACACTTTGGCGTTTGAAACTACGGGCTCTGGGTTCGAGCCTCAGTGGGGACATCATCACTCACTGGGAAATGCAGGTACATCCAGTTGACGAGTCTCAAGTAGGACGAAATGCGCGTTATCCTGGATTCCACTGCTAGGCACCATCCACCAGTTATACACAGCAATAAGCCTGGTAAAGAAGGAAGGTTGAGCGAGTGGTTAGCAACCCCACCTCTCACAGATAAAATCACCACACTACTAAAGCCCTAAACATCCAGCTTGAAAGCCTATGTTCCATACGGAAAGCAAAGGGATAAAAATATACAAAGGCATAAATTTTAGGGAAACTATTACGAAAAGAACAATTTCTTACATCGGATCCAGTTTCACTGAAATCTTTTTCAAGTTCACAGTGTATCTCCAATGTTTCACCAACTCTGTAGCTATAAATTTCTGTTGTAGTTTCAGATAATTCTGTAAGTATTGTAAATAGAAAACGAGGGAGAAAAAAGAGAGAAATATTTGGTCAACATCAATTTCAAAAATTTATTACTATTACAATTTCACATTACTGAAAATGAAGCACATTATCAAACAGAAAGCCAACACATCAAGTATAGATATTTATTAGATGATTGGAGGCGATGAGCCACTGGAAGCCCTACCTGGCCTAGGTTTCGTCCTTGTTGGCACTCATCAGAAAGACGCATCTGCAACCTTGGAGGAACACATATCCCTTATGAGATTCGAACCCGTGTCAACTAGTGAGTGCTGCAGTCAGAGACATTACCACTGAGCTATCTGGGTTCAAATCTCAGAAGGAGCGACATGACTTCTTTCAAGGTTGGAGATACGCCTTGCTGACTGGCGAGTGCCAACCAGCATGAAACCTAGGTCCGGATGGACTTCTTGTCGATTGCCTCAAATTGTCTAACAAAAGCAATTCATGAAGAAAGTAAAAGACAAATTCAGTGAAGAAAACTTTCTCTATCGACGAAATCATCCTCAGACGTTGTACAGTCATACTTATATTTACCAAAAATGTATAGTAGTCTATTACTGAGTAATAGAGGGTGACATAATTGATTTAATTACTCAGAAGTGGCTTTAGAGGTAAAAAATAAAAGTTGTAAATTGCGTAGTACTCAACGGCACAACGTTCGAAATTCGATAAGCTTAAAATTGCTATTGAGTGAGAATAAAGGTGGTAGTTGATTTTCAACTTAACAATTGTGAAGAGGGTGTGAAAATGCACAAAAGGAACATCTGAGAGTGAGGATAGTAAATCAGTTCCTAAAGTGAAAGCAAACTAAAGGTAAAATTGAAAGTTTAAAAAAATCAAAATGTTTTTACAGAGGACGACTAGTGAAGAGGTTAAGTCCATGGTAGAATAAGAAACTGGACAAAAATTCTCTGTATGCAGAGAGAGTTCGGGTTTGTATTAACGAACCAACCAACGCCCCCGCCATACACAAATGTCAAAACTTGATACCCTCCGTACCATTTGGCCTCACCTTGTAGATGATCTTGAAAGACAACTCTGGTGGAGCAAAGTGGCTAGAGTTCACTAATTACTCGACAATTGAGCTAGTAATTGTCTTGCATTGTCCTTTCGCTAACCATGCCGGATAATGTCCAGGTATGTGTTTGGAAAGCTTGCGCTTTTTGAGGCCAATATAACTAGCTTCAAACGAACGGTGTACAGTGATGGCGAGCCACCTAGCATGTTTGCCACACTGGGAACTTGACTGACAATAGAATTTAGTCTCCACTAAAGTATAGCTATTTATCCTGGTAAAAACATCTTGTTGGGACAAACCGCCTTGAAAATCGATACGTATCTCTAATATGTGATTCTCCGGATAAATTTTGATAGACCATCATTTTATATTCCTTTACGTTCCCAGAGTAACATAAGGATTCAAACTAGAGGCCTGAAGTTTCGGTAGCAGTGGAGTTAATTTTTACAGGATGAGGTTGCTAGCCTCAAGCCCAAACTTCCCTCTTCCCTACTGTTATTACTGCCTTAGCGAGTTAAAGGAGTGCGTCGGTAACCAGCGATCGAACCCCAGGCCACATGTAAAATAAAACAATGTTATGATTTATACTACATGTCCTCATCAGTCGAGTAAGACTGCAATGAATATAAAACATGAATACTAAAAATGTCAGATTATTAATTTCATTTTCAGACGTTAACCTAATTTACATGAACTGCTTTGTTCACATGATTCTTGTTTCATAGAAGGTCTTCATTTTGAAACTAAGTCAAGTGTTCAGTATCATGGATTATGTTGTTCGTCTAATCTTTTGTTAGTCTTCACACATCATGTGAATTTCTGAAGATATATTTTGTCTAAACATCTTCGTAAGGAAGTTAAGGCAGTCTAATATCAGTCTCTGCTTTAACGTGCAATCGTGAGTGGTCACAGCAAAGGTGGAAAGTCTCTTGCGAAGTCAAAGACTCGGTCTGCTCGTGCTGGTCTTCAGCTCCCAGTTGGTCGTGTACATCATCTTCTACACAAGGGCAACTACGCCGAACGCGTCGGTGCCGGTGCGCCCGTCTATTTGGAAGCTGTTCTCAAGTACCTGGCCACTGAAGTGCTTGAATTGGCTGGTAATGCCGCGCGCGACAACAAGAAAACTCGTATCATCCCTCGTCATTTGCGATTGGCCATCCGCAGAGACGAGGAGTCGAACAAACTGATCAGTGGTGTTACCATCTCCAAGAGTGGTGTCCTGCCTAACATCCAGGCTGTGCTGCTGCCTAAGAAGACCTACAAGGTGAAGGCCTAAGATCATCGGTGTGTGGCTTGGGAGCCAGAGAACGTGAAACCTGCCCTTTTTAGGGCCACTTTGTGCGCCGGTAGCACAGTGGTTAGGACTCTCGCTGATCATGCGCATGGTCCGGGGTTCGATCTCCTGCCGACGCACACCTGATATCTATGGTCGGCCTGCAAAATTTGGGATACCGATATCACATGCTGAAAATTCCATACCTGTACCAAAAAATACGGTGTGGAATCAAGCTGTAATCAAAATCAAATCGCTAAAGTTTGTCTATATCAAAGAAAATGAGTTCAGCGAAGAGCTACTCTTTTCGGCGATATCATTCTCAAGCTGTAAAATCGCATGTATATATATACATAGTAAATTGTCTTAGCAACAAAATGAATACTTCCGAAGATTCGTCATTAGAATTGAAAATTTTCAATAACAAATTTCGTTAATGGGTTAGAAACTGAAATAAGAATAAATAAGCAAGCTGAGTGACGTAATCTAATTGACGAAGTTGAGTCGAGCTCAACTGAAATTAAAATTGGACAAAAGTCAAGTTAACAATAGCGGCAATAAGGGCGACAGTTTTAATAAGGTGTTGGGGAAGAAAATATTGTGCATTTAAGAAACAAACAAGCAAGAAAAAGACGAAACAAAAATTACGCATTTGGTGTGAAGATAGGTTAGGTCCGCTGTAGGTTTAATGACTGAACAAACTTCTTTTGTATTCAGAGTTCAGGATTTAATATGTGAATTACCACTGCTTCTGCGGCTTGAAGAAGTTTGATACGTACTCGTTTGGCAAGATTCCCACGTATTCTGCAGGCGACTTTGAAGTTGGTCTGTGGGCTTGGTGCCTAGGTTCGATCAGATGTTTCAGGATAAAGTTAAGGGTGGAGGATCTTTTTTCTTCTTCATAAAATCATGAGGGTAAGTGTTCGATGATAGTCTGAACACAAAACTTTGGGTATGGCCAACATAACTGTAGAGCTCTACAGAAGTTGGTAGATGCACACTGATAAGGTCAACAGTGATAGTTTATGTTTCATGTTCAAGTGAATCACTGGTTTCGTGGAGAAAGTTAGTCAAAGTTCAGCCATGAAGAAGATTTCCTTCAGTGAGCAGGACAGGCGGTTTCTCAGTATTCTAGCTGATGAGTTTCCATTGAATTCTGGATTCAAGTAGAAAAGTCTTTTTGCAACGGGAAGTCTGAGTGGTTTTGGTGGTTTAGGCCTAATAGTTTTTGTGATGGAAAGTTCTGGGTAGCCGTTTTCTAGGAGGATTCTCTTCAGAGTATTTACCTCCTCCTCCTCCATAGTATCTGGGCTTCAAATACTGCAGATTCTATGGCTCATTGAACGGATCAGGTTTCGTTTTGAATACAGTGGCACCCAACTGTGAAACTTATTAAGTGGGTATTTCCATATTGGCTTTCTGTTAATTGATCTTTTTAGTGTTCCATCTTGTTCACGTATTGTTAGCTGATCTTCTAGAAAAGATATTTTTGTGTGGGATTCCTACTATAGTGTGTAGTGAATTGCTGGGTGGCAGTTGTTGAAGAAGTCCAAGATATTCTCCATATTCTCCCCACTGTTGGAGATAATGAAGTTTTTTTCTTTACTTTTACATCCCACCTATTTTATTTTACTGCTCATGATTAAACTTTTTGGGTTACTTAAGAAAGGCTTTGTTATATTGTGGAAGGTACTAAAAATTGTCTATAAGGTGAGTGATGTGTTAATACACTGTTGTAGACAGATACATGAACTTTTGCTAGAAGATGGTGATTATGATCTTGTCAAACTGTGAATGTCCACATTATTCACAATTCTTCCCTTGGGTCAGGATGATGGCAGGAATCGAGCCACTCCTCTTTTGCTTTCTGGAGTAAAAGAAAAACTGCCTAATTTCGCCTCCTCCATGTGTATCTAACAATTTAACTCCTCCTTTGGAGTGAGCCAGTTAGTAACATAGGCCGTACAACTAGGCGTGTTTCTCATCAGATTTCCGAACATCACACTGCACAGTTAAGTAAAGGACAAACAGAATCCATTCGTAGCTCTATTCTTTCTCATCCTTTGGATACAGAACACAAGATTGATGTTAACCAGGCGGCTTTCAGAATCATTTATCGCATACCAACTAATCTTAACGTCAACTTAAGAATTCATCTACTACATATTGCTGTGGCTGTTGGGATCCACATTAAGAAGTCTAATTTATGAGTCCAAAAGAAGCTAGTTCAGACACTATCCTTACTTTGGCCATCTAGGTTTGAATGACACTCAATTTTTGTGGAATTTTCCCAATTTTAGTTGATATTCTATTTGTTATTATATCTTTATAATTATTTATGCATCTTTCGTAAACTGTGGTAATTCCACTGATCTTACTCACCAAATCGACATTATTTGAAAAACACTAATATCGTTATTGACTACTATTCTAGAATATTCTGTGTATATAAACATGTTTATAATTGTAGAGCCAGAAGAGGAAAATATCGACAAGGATATTCTTTGCTCAATTCTTTTGTACTTCTGAATTATTGGTCGGGAACGTTTTCCCCATTAATTTATGAGTTCAAACTGCCTATCACACTATCAGTTCATTATCCAGCTGAATGTTACATGGCTACTGTCAGGCTATCAAGACACTGGGTGTTCAGATAAACCTTTTGTCATTCATAATCCAAGTGAATTAAAGGAGGCAGGAGGTGGGATTTTAATTTATCTCTAGTTCGAAGACTATTATTAGTATAATGGGCGATGAATTCACTGATATGAAGACCCATTCAGTAGTCGAGTTTCGTAGTTCATCTGGTAAGGTTATAACTGAGCAACCATTCATTCGAAAGATAACTCAACTGACAGCCTGATTTCACCCAAGACTATCTCAGGTAGTCTAACCATCAATTAACACAAGATTGTAAACGATGGGAGAAGGTTTAGCTATCCGACTAGTTTGACAATAATTTATGGATCACTTATCAAATTAATTTTACTTGTGTTGTTGTAGATCAGCTCTTGGACAACAGGACCCTCCAACAATCACCCCCCATAAAATGAAGTATAATCTATCAATCATGCCAACACTACCTCCTAGATAGTTTCATTCATAAAATCCTCCTAATTTAAAAACTTGGCAATTTGCCATTAGTTAACAGAACCCAATTTTAAGACTTTTGCGCGAATAACATTTTGCATCCTGAATACATACATATATAAGAGTGACCTCGTGTTATTTATTTACTTATACCTTTATAATGCTAAAATTGAAAGTCATATAACTTCATATGAGTATGTTAATAATAATAATAATAATAAATTCTATTTTAATGAAAGATTTTCAATAATTGACTTTATGAACACTATTCATTTGGTGCGATATGCCATGCGTATAAGCCCTTTACCCCTCTTCCCCTCATTAATATATATTGCAAACTCTGTTTGTAAACAAATCAGAATTCTCACAGTGTATGTGAAATATGCGTGTTATACAGTTTAATGGTTTGTTGTAATGATATTTATATATATATATATATATAAATGTTTATTATGAATCTTTACGAAATAGTGCTTGAAATGATATATATATATATATATGTATTTATATATTCTGTAACTTGACAATTGTGAAATAAACAAAGCGTTGTAAGCATTTTGTTTACACAATAGAAACTTGGATTTAAATATATGCATCTGCCAACTTATATGTACATTTTTCTGAAATGCTAAATGACGCGAGTGTGTGATAATATCCTGGTTTCTATCGATTCTCCGGAGTTGGGAGGGGCGGGTTGTGTTGTACTTCATATAAGCAGGATAACTAACATTATTTATGCCTAATCTATGCCAACTGTAAGCGGTAGGGAGGAGGAGGTCATAGGTAGGCGTTCATTAATGTGAAATCGATATGGAGACCTGGGGTCTTTGGTGTGCATCTGTGGTTCAGCGGTAAAGTGCTCACCAACCACTCATCATGTAGTCCGGGGTTCAATCCCCGGCCACCTACGCACTCCTTTACCTCACCAAGCAAGTGATAAGACTGATAAAGAGAGAAGGTTGGGAATGAGGTTAGCAACTCCATGGCGTAAAAACAAACACCACTGCTATCGAAACTTCAAGCCTTTAGCTTGAAGCCCTATGTTCCACTGGCAACGTAAAGGAAAATTAAACAGAGTCTTTGGTGCACTTGAGGACTAGTATGCGAATTTTTAACAGTCAGTGTTTTTTTGTGTAGTCCACTAACTCTGCGAGTGGGTCTATGAAAACACTGCCAATAGGCTAATATAGACTTTCAAGAACACCCGCTCACCTTCTCTCGACAGAGAAGACCACATGGAACTCTGGCTAAAAACCAACCAATAATCTTTTGGTTGATAAATATGCAAGAGGAGACGGAGATGCCTTGAGAAATACAAGTGGTTTCACACACCAAACTTATCATCAAGTGGAATCCGAATTGGATGAAAGCTCGTGGGCAGTGTTGAAACCAGTTATAACTGATAGCAAAGAACCGAATGGAATCGAAATATGCTGGTGAAGCCGTATGTTCCACTCGAACTCCGAAAATGAATGACAATAATAATTATAATAATGACAGACATAATACCATAATACATCTACCTGACATGTGCGTTGAAGCTTTTGGAGTATTCAGTCAGTAGTCGTCCTCTAATTCATCAACTCTAATGCCTTAACTCATAATATAATAATTGCTTCAATGAAACACACAGTAATGATGACGTTTGGAGAACAATTTATTGCTCATAACCATAACAGGGCATTCGTATAACTCTGAGATTCTGTTTGTATAGTTTTATTATGGCTTATCCCATGATTATACAGCTTATCGGAACATAGGAATTTAGTTAAGTAAAGAATGTGCGTCGGTGGTACAGCAGTAGAATGCTCACCAACCACGCATTATGTGGTTCGGGGTTCGTTCCATGGCTACCGATGTACTCCTCCTTTGCCTCACTAAGCCAGTAATAAAACTGGTAAAGAGTAAATGTTGGACATGAGGCTAGCAACTCCATCCCGTAAACATAAACACCTCTGCTACTGAAACTGCAAGTCTCTAGCTTGAAGCCGTATGTTCCTCTGGAAACGTAAAGGAATAAAATTTTTAAAAATAACAATAACCCTTAGAATATAACCAACGAAGACAAAACCTTAATTACTGCAATGACCATATCAGCATACGATTGCACAATAGGGTGGGACATAACTACGGTTCTAAAATATAATATAGTTAAGTGAAGGATAATGTCGACCACTAAATCCTTGTTCAAGGAATCCCTAGCAAACGCTTGCAACAGGAGTGGTGTAACACAAATATCAGAGATATATGAAAAATATGACTAGAAGATTATATACACAAAATTTGGGGGTTATGTAAGTACGGTGATATGCTTATGAGGAATAAATTGTGCCTAACTCCATTATAGATAGGATTTTATTTTGATAAATCACACAGTGTTGTACAGTAGTGTTAAGTGATGACGTTTCGAGCACAAGTTATTCCTCATAATCATAACACAGCATTCACACGACTGTTTGCTTCATTTATATACAATGGGTTGTTAGTTGGTTCATTCCCAGAGTTTCCTCTTGCTAATTCTTTCCAGATGGCAATTTGCAGCAATCTTCGTATGTTTGGCATGCGATTCCCCCCTGTAAAATGTAAGATGCTGCTCCAGGACTGCACCACGTCAACTCCTAGCTTAGTGATAGGGAGTGAAGTGATAGAGCATGTTGACCATTTCATCTATTTGGGAAATTGTATCAGCACCAACGGATTGATTGGTGACGAAATCTCAGCACGGATACAAAAAGCTTGAGGTGCTTTCGCTAACTTACACCGTCTCTGGCGTAGGCGTGACATCCGGCTATCAACCAAGGGACGTGTGTACTGCTCAGCAGTTCGCTTCGTCCTTCTCTATAGCTCTGAAACATGGCCAATACGAGTTGAAGACATGAAAACGTTGACTGTTTTTGATCATAGATGTCTACAATCTCTTTCTCGCATCAGGTGGTATAATAAGACAAGTAATGTTGACGTCAGGTGCAGAGTGTTGGGCAAAGAGGGAAAATCAATCGAAAAGGCTATAAAGTTACATAGATTGAGATGGCTAGGTCACGTGCTGAACATGCCTAACCATCGCCTCCCCCGACGGGCATTACTAGCTGACATAGGTGCAGGTTGGAAAAGAGTAAGTGGTGGCCAAACAAAAACATGGCATCAATCAATCCATGAAATCCTTCCTTGACAGTTAAACTGAGTCAGGTAGGGAGATGCAGACTTCCGGGTTGGGGCCCGCCCTCAGGACTCTAAGAATCAATGGCTGGAGACAATAGGTGACATGACTCAAAATCGTTGTCAATGGCACAGATGTATTCAGTCTCTGTTATCTTTCATATTCCTTTCTACCATTACTTATCCTGTTTCACTCTTATACTTATCAAAACTCTATTGATTCTCTTCACTCATTTTCTTGTCTACCTTTGTGTGTTATTTGGAACGTGGCAACTCGAACTGCTGCACTTCGGTGCCAAGTTCTATGTTGAATCCACCAGCCAGATGGCAATTTGACCTTCCTTACAAGGCCAGCGAAGGCAAATGTTGACAGAAATCCGGTGTAGCCTGTTGGAATTGGCTTTCGTAACTAGCGTGTCAAGTTTCTGATCTATATAGAGGAACTAACCGACATAAGATTGGTTTTGGAAGCCTGAATTTTGTTCCTTATGCCGACTGCGAACGATTTCCAAGCTGATTTCAGAGTGATGTTGGTCTGGCTTGCCTTTACGAATCTGGATTTGACATCTACACCGATGCAATCGTCCTGTAGTTGATACTGTGCTTTGCAGATAATTGAATAAAGTGACCCCTTTCAAATTTATTCCGTTGACTGGTTGGAAGCCTCTCTTTATCAATATTCAATTAACACAATTTTGTTATATGCTAAAACAATGAATATTTTTTAATATTTTTAAAATATTTTTGATTACAGCTTGATGCCACACCGTATTTTTAGTACAAGTATGGAATTTTCAGCATGGATATCGGTAGCCCAAATTTTGCAGGCCGACCATAGATATCGGGTGTGGTCGGCAGGTGATCGAACCCCGGACCATGTGCATGGTCGGCGAGCGTCCTAACTGCTATGCCACCGACGATAACAATCTGGACTGAATTACGAATCAATAAAAGCAGTTCGTTGTCTTAAACTCTTCGGAATTCATTTTAGGAAATTCCACGTAATAAAGAAACGGGTGTGGTACTCCTAACTTTCTATTAATTGGCCATAAAGAACTATGTTCTTTAACGCACGACAAGAACTGCTTTCTTAAAAAAAACAAATCTTAGCTTATGTAACTCTCAATAGGATCCTCCATTTACCTACACTGATGAAGATACGTGATCAGAAGAATTTCGGACGTAATAATAAACAAAACAGCACTTACCCATTTTCCCTGTAGTTCCAAGTGGTTTAGGCTCCATATCCAATTTAACTGTACCGACTACTTGTTCAGTTTCAGGTGAGATCACTTCACATGTGATTGATGTGTCAGTTTTTACACCTTCAACAGGTACATGATCAACAACTATTTGATGTACTATTGTATCACCATCACCAATTTTCCCATCAGTTTCTGTTGACCATTGATAGTTATAAGATACACCTTCAGTTCCAGTTGTTGGCATATGACATTGTAAAGTAACTGTCACATCGTCTGGATCAATTCTTCTTGAAATTGTAATATACGGAATTACTGTATAGAAATGAGTGGAACAAAAAAAATGATTAATTATTAAACAGTAAATCGATAATGAGTACCATTCATAAATACACACAATTACATTATACAATGTAATTTATAGATATAGAAACCTTTCTAAACTCTCTTAACTTGATGTCTAGTTGGAACCTAGGACACATGTTTCCTCCTATTTGTGACTTATTGACTGGTTTCGCCTGCTTCTTAGTTAGTGTTCGTATTCCCACTGAAATGCGAACGCATAATAAAATGGCTTCAGACGTTGAAGCTTTATCTCTGAGGCCACTCATCCGCGGGAGTGGACTGTTGTGAGATCAGTGAGGTGTGATTAAAGTCTCAGAGTAGTTAAACCAATTGCTTCTGGATTCGTGTCTCAGCGGGAACAGGACTACTCACTTAGGAGATAGAACGCAGACACCTATGATCAAAGACAGCTAGTCAGGTGTTTCATGTCTTCCACTGTCAATGGCCATGTCTCGCTCACAGCCATGAAGGAGGACGGAGCGGACTGCTGGGCAGTGCACACGTCCTTTCTTTGACAGCTGGATATCACGTCTACGCTAGAGACGGCGTAAACTAGCAAATGAGAAACTAGCCTTCTGTTACCTGTAACAAAAGTTCATATGGAAAAATAACAAAGTGTTAAGAGATAAGACAAGAGATGTAGGTTAAATTACATGACTATTTTGAAGGTCCACATTACACTGGGGATAAATGAAGCAAAGAGGAGAGATAATAGTACATTTCTTTTCTGGTATCAAACAAAGTTTACAAATAAAAGCCTAATAGGGAGATCAACTGTCTTTGAGCATATAAGGGCTGTTTAAACATTCCATTGTGGAGAAAATTTATTTTGATAAAGTCTCACAGTTGTTGTTATACAGTAACATTTACTGATGATCACGTTTTGAGCACAATTTATTACTGCTCATAACTGATCATACCAAGTTATTTACACAGCTTTTTAACGTCGTTAATGCAATTCCATTATTTCACATCGCTTCATTTGATGGGTATTGGCAGTTTCCATATCTATGGTATTTAGGTTGAGTCATTTCTGTTGAATGTGTTTGATGTATATTTTTTCAGCGAAGATCCTGTAATTGACTTCCCTCTCCATGTACCTATATTACTTCTTATAATTTTAACCTTCTCCCACCACCCTATTGTGTGGTTTTGTGTTAATGCATGCAGTGCTATGGCTGGGTTTTTTCTAAATTATTCATCTTCGTGGGATCAGTCATTCTAAGCTTAGCTAAATTCTTACATTTTGACAGTCTGTCTGCCTCAATCTACTATTTTGACCTATGTGGTTGACGTAACTCACAGTCATTGCAAGGTATTTTGTAAATTATATTATTCTGTTTAATTGGGTCAACGGGGTCCTTTAACTTACAGAGTTATGTGACTAACTTGATATGATTACGAGCAGCAATAAACTGTGCTCGAAACGTGATCATCAGTAAATATTACTGTATAACACTGTGAGACTTCACAAAAATGAATTTTATCCACAAATGAATTATACTTTACCACAGTGCACAAGTTCTGTTATTATATTAGTGGCTGTTTAAACATCTAAATCTCCAGGACAGGTCTTAAACATGTTTTGTACATAAGTTTAGAAGAGATAGAAACTTTAAATGTTTCCCCTGTATTTACAAAATGTTTCTTGGTGTAAGTGGCAAGTTGTCTGTTTTCACCATTATTAGGTTCAGGGGATCCAATTTCCTTCTGAAGCCATTTAGGGATATACTCTAAAGCTCTTGCTTGCGCAGATCGACGAGTCCTCCCTACATATCTGTGACCATAAGTACATTTAAAATGTTAGATTCAGTGGGACGCAAAATCATTTTTCGTATGCTCTAAGGGCTTAAATGAATAAATAGGCTTCACATTCCCAATAATCCTGATTATAACTTCATGAAAAGCTTTCAGTCTTTGCCTAATTACCAAGCTGCTATGATTACCTATATACGGTAGCTTCTTGGAGGTGAGTTAGAGAATGAGTCTTGGTGTTCTGGCAGTTATATACCTCATTATGAACTCCGGATAATTATTTTCAAACACATCTTCCATCAGTATTCTTTCCTCACCTTTAAGTGTGTCCTTTTTCCTACAGATGTTACCAGACTTGATGATTAAACATCCACTCCCTCCCTGAGCTACAAATCCCTATTATTTCCATGTAAATTTTTTATACAGGAATGGCAAAAGTATGAACCGCCTTTAATGGTGGTAAAACTCTCAAGATGTCATGATATTTTTATCCCATATAGTTCAGAAGTGAAAAAAAATAAACTTTGATAAGAACATACCATCAGTTTGTCTGCGTACTCGTTTCAAAAAGACTTGATTATCCAGTGTCTCATTTGTAGTGTCAATCCAACCATATTGACAGATAGGTGAAGCACTCTTGAGAAATTGATTTTCTGACGACAAGAATAGTTTTTCAGTGAATTCATTCACTATCACATGGCCTATAGGATGTTCCCATGTTACTAAGGTATAATCATTAGGTAAACTTGAGCAGAGATAGTAATGATCATCGTTTACTCCTTTGACTAAACTTCCAACGTTGATGTCTGTTTAAGAGAAGAAATATTGAGATAATACTGATGACATACAGAAAAGACAACATTGGTTTGTAATATTTTGTTAAAATTGCAGATATTACTTAAATGGGTATTACTTATATATCTTATTCAACAGCTGATGCCACATCGTAAGTAGTTCAGAGTATACAGCTCACTAAATCCTTTCAGGAGAAGACGGGAGTAACGCAAAGTACTATCACCAATAATCCTCCTGACTGAGTTGGACTGGATTATGTGACAATTCGCTGAAAGTAAGATAATGGTCAAACGGTGGACTGGCTAAGTGACCCCAGAACAAGTGAATTTCTTATGTCACATAATCTAGATGATTTATAAGCGGGAACCAAAAAGTTGACAGAAGATGTAGCGAATGCAGGACTTTAAGTGAACAGAGGGAAGACAAGGATAATGAAGAAATCCAAACTATCAACCCCAATCACCGGTCACTATTAGTGGGAGAAATCCAAAACAAGACGTCTAAATCACTTACCTTGGGAAGGTCGTTTCAACTAAAGGTGGCATAGGTGAGGATGTCAAAGACAGGATCGAAAAAGCAGGACAATCATTGATCACTCTGAAATCGGTGTTAAAATCTACAGCATACAACATGCGAAAGCGTTCCTTTGTCGGTGATTCAAAGGTAGAATGATAATCAACAAGGTCAATGATCCAAGTTCCATCCCCAATCGACGCACTCTTAAACATCGTCTAGACATTAGTAAGCTCGGAAAAAGGAGTGGCTAAGCCTGAGGCTAGCAAAAACATCACTCCTACTGAAGCTACAAGGAAGCCTTGAAGTCCTATATCCTACTCAGAGCAAAAGCATTGAATGCAACTGAATATTTCAAAGGTGAGGCCTTAGATTGTCATAAAGATTTACGGTCCATTTATGTCCCAGTGGTTCAATGATGATGATTCCTTGGTATGATACCACCATCATACAACGTCAGTGTTGACTTTATATATATATATATGTATCCGGCTTGTTTTATCACATCGCTAATCTCTTTTAAAGAAAACCATTCATAGTGTGGAGAGTGCTACTGACAAGAATTATCAGCAGTATATAGACGCGTCAGTGGCATAGCGGCATAGCGCCGACCATGCACATGGTCCGGGGTTCGATTCCCGGCCGACGCACTCCTTTACCTGGCTAAGCCAGAAATAATGCTGGTGAAGAGGAAAGGTTGGGAATGAGGCTAGCAACCTCATCCTGTAAAATAAACACTGCTACAGAAAGTTCAAATCACTAGCTTGAAGCCCTATATTCCACTGGGGAACGTGAAGGAAAAAAAGTATAGACGCAGATTGATACGAAATAGACAAAATTGAAAACAATATTTTAAGTCAATGTCTACAGAATTAGAAGTATCTATTTCTCAAATCTGGATCTAGCTTACGTTGTGGTGAGGAAATAATCTCAAGGTCTGGCCTTCAGAAAATCAGAAAGCAATCAGAATATTTTCTAATACTCTAACCTGAGCAGCCATAAATTTGGCTAAAATGTATGAACATGGTGTGATTTTCTTCAATGAAATAGTCTGTTACCAAGTATTTTGCCTTCTCCCGTTACAATAGCATCTTGCAGCTAGAGGCTAGTAACTGCTAGATTTTATCGACTTATAGGAATTTCAAAATAAGACTAAGACACTTCAAAAAACAGTAAACATTTTAACTCAGAATGTAGTCTGTGCCATGAGAGCTGCGTCGAGCGAATGAAAGAAGGAATGAAATGATGAAATTGATAAACATAGTGAAAAAGGGCTATAATCGTTTAGTGGTTGGAGGTAAAAATCGGTAGAAACCTTTGTGTGCAGGCCACGCGCTTATTTGCATTAGTCAGCAAGGTGTCTCTTTAACCTCGAAAGAGATGATGCTCCTCTTAGGATATGTGAACCAGCATCATCCAGTGCTGCAGTCAGAGACATTATCACTGGACTATACATGTATTTTACAATAGCTATAACCTATACGATAGTCCCAAGGTTGCTTAAATAATTCTCAATAAACTTAGTGGTAGTAGAAATACTAAAGCAGAGGTGTTTATTTCTACGGGATGGGGTTGCTAGCCTCATCCCCAGACTTCCTTCTTAACACTCTAATTACTGACTTAGTGAGGTTCAGAATTGCGTTGTTGACCAGGGATCGAACCCCAAACCACATGTGACGTGGTGCCACAGATGCACTGCAAATGTCTACCTAGTGTTTATTCTTGTTGTTCATAATGCAGTAGTAAAAGTGCTATCGAAGACTGACTGAAAGTACCCTGTATATCGTTAGGTAATTCAAATTCATAAGACGTCTAACAGAGAAGATATTGTCCACAAGGTCAATGAATGCTACGCAAATAAACTAACGAGCTCAGAGAACAGATCAATACAAAAATGTCTCCAAGTCTGTTGACATCAATCATCTGAATTTTCTATTAGTATACAAAATAAGATAAAACTAATTTAATTGGTGGTTGGTGACTAGCAGCGGAATCCAGGATGGGCAGTTCGACCTATTAGGGACTCGTCAGCCGGATGAGCCTGCATGCCGCAATGAGTGATGGTGTTCCCACCGAGGCTCGAACCCAGTGCCTGTAGTCTCACACACCAAAGCGTTATCCACTGGACCACTTTGGCGACGAGAGTCACCTCTTGTGCAACAGGTCATAATAATTAATTAATTGAATTTTAGAAACCAAAATGTCAACCTGAGACCGAGCACCTCGGTCCAATCAATGGACAGGAAAATCTAAAATTCAGTCGGATAAGGTAAAACTGATCTAAAATTTGATCACGAAGCGATCATTTACTGCTCATTACTGACTCATTATGATATGAAGTAGCCTGTAGTTCTAGTAAGAAGTTATGAACGCTTGCGTCCACGAAATAAGTTGATAGGACCGATACTCAACGATGACACTGTCTGTCCGTGATACAGAACATCAGAAGTAGACGGAATTTATGATTTATAGGCCGTTGGGTCCCGTCCCACTAACAGAATGGTTAATGAGGTAGTCTATATCCTCACTAGCACGCTGATGAAGAGTCTCAAACCGAGTCGAAACCTCTGTTGAGTACTCCTCTAACTCATGTCAGCCAGAGACCAAACTAGAAATCAGTTCAATCCTTATGAGATAGCACTTTAAAACAGTTGACTTAAGCATTTTTCTTCAAATCCTGAAAAAAAACTCGTCATAAAATCCACGCTTACCTGATATATAATTACTTGACCATATTTCAATTTTCTGTACTGGTAAATGACGTTGTAACGATGTTGACTGATCAGCACAGAAATAAGTTCCCAAATCGTCTGCTGTTAACTTCTCGAAATGTAAACGGGGAGTGGTTTGTCCAGTAATCTGTAATTTCGGTGGTCTATACCATAGAGTATTTTCATCATTTGGATTGATTGAAGATGTCTTTGAATTACAAATCACTGTCAATGGTTCACCAAGAGTACCTTCTATAACTTGAGTTAGATGGCGCTCGTAGACGAAGCTTTCGTATGCTTGAAATGGTAGGGGAAAAAAGAAAATACATTGAATTTGAAAACAGTTTTAAAACAGTGTTTTTAAATAATGAACTGGAATGAATGTTCACAGTAGAACTCTGTGGAAATGTTTGAGTTGCCACACTTCATAAATGCACGTATAACGATACAGAACAAAAGGAAACTTAAGGAAACCTTCGAAACTGCAAAATATTCGGGAGTAGGGATAATTACATGCCAAAACATGAGAATTTAATGCATATAGGATTGAATGCATCTGAGAGCCAAGTAAAATAATTTTGAGTCAGGTCTCCAACAATCGTTAGTCTTTGGCAGATCCCTACCAGGCAGTTTACAACTCCCTGACTGACTCATTTCAATAGTCAATTCCCAACCCTTTGCTAAATTAATCCTATGTTGTCTGACACTGATCGATTGTGAAGGTGGTGTTTAGGCATTCCTAAGATGTATCGCAGCCATCTCATCGATTGATTTCCACTCGCTACCTAACATTACACACAACCTGAGTATTAATGAGCGAACCTAGCAAGGGAGGTTGACTGAAGACACCTGTAGTTCTGGTCCTGTGCTAGAAGTATACAACTTATAGGAACTGGTAATCAAATGAGCATCTCTTTCATTCTACTAATTTTTTTTATGAGTACAAGACACACATCAAAACTATTTCAGTAGTAACTAGGCAGAAATATGAAATCTAAACACCAGAGATTAGTCATGCTGACATTGGAGACAACCCCAGGAACAATTTACCTAGGTTATTTCAGCTTTTCGTCTGTCATAATTTCGACGGTAATTTTGGTGTGTGTGTGTGTGTGACATGATTGGTTCTTATTTCAGAATGATTGTATAAATCTATTCCGTTCAGTAAAATCACACTGGTAGCAACTGGTCGAAAGGTTTCTGCCATACCACTTTGTTGAGTGTTTATGGATATATTCAAGCCCTTTCTTTTATTGTATCCTGCATATATAAGTTTATAAATTGATTGGTTGGAGGATTTCATCATGAGCTGAAATCAGTTACAGAACCATTAGAAAACCAGCAGTGGAGTACTGGACAGCTGTCTCGTCCTATTTCCGGGCTCTTCATCAGTACTCATCCACCACAGGGGTTCGAAATCAGGCTCTTCTGGTTACAAGGCGAGCTAGCTTGTAGACCATTAAGCCAATGGGACACGATCCAATGGCCTACCCATGAATTCTAACTTCTGCTAATTCACGACATAGCGCGACCACTTAGAAGTGTCTTCGTCGATGAGTAACTGTCCCCATCTTCGACCTTCTGTATCCTACTGGTCACGAATTCCCACTAGAACCCCAGGTTAACTGCCTGAATAGTGCTAGTCGCTAGTGAGCATAAGGTCAAAACAAAATCCCTACAAAACCGATACTTTATAAATTGAGTCATTTTCGACAAAGCTGATCGGCTTGAAGGGGTTATGATGTACACAATGACAACAATGCCACTTCATGGTTTTGTCGTAAATACATCCCATATACTTTGGTTGAACACTAATTAACTGGTGTCATGTGTCTAGTGTTTTGTTTATTGCAGACTGAGTTCTATCAGTCATTTTTCAATGATGGGGTTTTCAATCTTAGCAGGGACATCAGTTTCTTCAAGGTTTCAGATACGCCGTGCTATCGAATGCGAAACGGATGAAGATGTTTTTGACGTAGTTGTGTTCTCTGAGCTGGATAGTTAATTTGAGAAGCTTTCGTCGCCCTACTAGGCGACATCTTCAGCGCATACTTCAATTGAAGCGCAATACTTCAGATTGAAGTATGCGCTGAAGATGTAGCCTAGTAGGGCGACGAAAGCTTCTCAAATTAACTATCCAGCTCAGAGAACACAACTACATCAAAATCATCCACCTGAGCGACAAATCTTCTCTATCATATCTTAATCTTAGGATGAAGATGTAAAAGTCAGAATCGGAAAGGCAAGATACGCATTCATCAACGAATCTGAAACCAGTTTGTAAATCTTCTGCACTCCGTCTCAGAATAAACAACAAGATTCGGATTTCCAACACCAGTGTGAATTCAGTCCATCTATACTGGTGAGAAACTTGGCCAGCGTGTCACGAAAAGTGTTTCCAACAGGCTACTGCAAATGTTTATCAACAGCTGCTCACTTCGATGACTGGCTCCATACTGAAGATCAGTGGCCAGCCGGCCAGAAAGAGTTGGCAACAAGAGACTCTGACCGGCGGCAAACGAACAGTCAAGAGCTGACTGCTCAACAAATATGTAGGAAAAAATAAAGGTAGATTGAGCATGCATTGGGGAGGCCGTCGAATGATTTCGCGCTCTAGGCCCTCTAGTGGAAAGTGAATTTGGAGCGACGAGTGGCTCGTCCTGGGGTGACACGGAAGAGACGGTATGAGGTGGAGATGAGAGATTATGGGTAATCGTGGTCCAGGCTGAAGAGGATAGCAGAAGATGGGACAAAGTAGAGATGTGTTGTTGAAGCCCTATTTTCAACTCGGAACTCAAGGGAATAATAATATGAGAATAACGAGTGTCAATGATCGCGTAACTTAGGTTGAAGACTTCCTACTGATTACCTCCACCTATCTAATATCAACAGTGCACTCCATATCTATTTGTAAGACTTCCTGTGCACACAGTTCAACAGGGGGAGAAAAATTACATTCTACCTTTGAATCAATGACGCATAAAGTACCATCCAGTAATTCACTAGGATCACCTTAGCTAAGAAGATATTACCTATTTACCCAACCATTTTTATTCTCCATTTGATCTATCTTCAACAATTTCTATGAAATGAGGAATTTGGAATTAAGTGTCGTTGGAAATCAATAAGTCAATATACATATGGTAAAAATAAACACGACAGATGTGATTTTTACTAAATTCACCAATGATAGTCAACTGCCTAAATATGGACAAGCAGAGTGGGATTCAAGTGGTTGATGAATTACAAATTTTTAAACATTATTATTAAATGAGTGATTTAGTATTAAGAGTGTTAAAGTCTAGGGGAAATACTGTCCAAAACCATCGACTCCTAGCTCAAAGATAGGAAGTGAAGTAGTAGAGCATGTTGACCGCTTCACTTATTTGTAAAGTTTCATCAGCCAACGCCAGCGGGTTGATCGCCGAGGGAATCTCAGCACGCATGCTGAAAGCTTGTTTGACATTTGCTAAATTATGCCATCTCTGGCGTAGATGGGTTAGCCGAATGTTGACTAAGAGACGTGTGTAGTGCTTAGCAGTTCGCTCCGTCATCCTCTTCGGCTTTGAGTGAGACATGAACATTGAAAATGGGAGACATGAAAAGGCCGGCTAGCTGTCTTTGACCATAGGTGCCTGCGTTCCATCTCCCGTGTTAGGTAGTATAATAAGGTGAGTAACAACAAGGTTAGGCATCGAGGGCTAAGTAAGGAGGGAGAGGAAATCAATCGACGAGGTTGTGCAGTTACATAGATTGAGATTACTACGATACATGTTAGGTACGCCTACGCGTCGCCTTGCTCGACTAGAAATGTTAGTTGAAATAGGATCAGGTTGGAAAAGAGATAGCTAGTGGTGTTCAAAACAAAACATAGCTTCATCAGTCAATGAAATCCATAGCAGTTAGTTTAAGCCAGCCACATAGGGAGGTGTAGACTAGCTGGTTGACTGGTTGGGATCCTCGGGTTGGTAAGAACCAATAAAGGCCGAAGACAATTGATGATATGACCCAAAGCCATTCTCAATGATGGTGCAGATGCATTCACTCTCTTTGTGATTTGTCATGTCTAATCAGCCTCAATTGTTTTTCCATATAACTATTCTTTTCCCCTCAATTGCATACCTGTTAATTATCTCTTCTTCCCTGCTTTTTGTGCTATATGGAGAGTTGCAACTCAAACTGGTGAACATCTGTGCTAAAATCTATGCAGAAACCAGTTATTCAGTCAGTCAATCAGTCAGTGTCAAAAATCAAAATTATGATGATATGGATAATGATGACAAAAAGGTGTGACAGAACGCTCTTGAATACATAGTTATGGTTTTATGTATAGCTGGTACTTCGACTTTCGCGTACTCCCACCTAATTTTCACGAGTGGAAGTAAGATTTGACAATGCATAAAGGATAAACTACTGTGTATTTCCTCCTCTACTAACATCTATCCTTTCACAGGAGCTATTGGAGTTGATGACTAAATTAGACGTCCGTAAGTGTGTTCTTCAGAAACACGTAGGTGAAAACACAATTTGGCCTGGTTGATGAAAGGTGGACAAAGGATGACTGGGTCTTCTATCTGTGGACATCTTATCTGGTCAGGTCATAACTCACACACAGTGTATTCTTTAACGTTATCCACATGGCTAAACCTAGCCACTTTAAAAGTTTGTATTTTCTGCACTGTGTATAGGCGAAGAACTGGCTATACATAGATAAGGACTTAAAGCATGAGGAACTGACTTCAATCAATTCAGCATTACATAATATTAACTGGACTTAATTGTCAAAAAATACTATTTCATAACCACTACCACATTAATGACATCCATCACATTGACTAAGCTGCATTAAGTACCCTAATATAACACTGTGTATTGCGGATCAGAGGTTGTAACTGACTGAAGAGAACCGATGAATCCATACTATTCTGCTTCAGTGTGTCAACGTGCTGTTTTCAACGTTTATAATCAGCAGAGTCTAACCACAAAACATCTTCATTTCGCACCAGGAGTATACATTAACTGGATGACCAACTGATAATTATAATAAGTACACTTTAGGCTTCAACAAGACCCTGCCTTGTTGTCCTTCCCTGTCGACATATTATGTACTATTTCCAGTTTGCAATAAAGTACAGTAAAGCTCAAAAAAACGTAAAACCATGGACAAAGTATAGTCTTGAGTATTACGTAAAGTATGATCAAGCGGTAATTTTGCTATGTAGATATGATTTAGCTGAGAAATAAATAACCCTGGCACTTTTTAGTTTTTATTTCGATGTTTGAGGTCTCTCCAGTAA